CCTGGCACTTCGTTAAATCAGCAAGAAAACCATGAAGAGATCAATTGCAAAGCTGCGTGTTCCAGGCACAAGCAGTTTTCCAGAAAGCTCTCCTCTTTGCCATGACACCAAGCGGGACAGGGACTGCTGGGTGGTGGTTTGGGGGAGGCGTGGAAAGCAACTTGCTTTGAGAAAGTGTTTTTACTCTTTTACGGGCAAGTTGAAACAGAATGAGAAAGCTGATCTCTAGAGATGAATTTACATCAGATCATGGGCACTAGCTTTCGCCCTGCCATCGAAAGGCATTATTTGCTAGGGCTGCCAGAGACCGCGGGTATCAGAGACTGGGTCTTTTCCCATCCATATTTGCCCACACCGAAGTCTGAAAACAGATTTCAGTACATATATAATTTTAAAATGTAGATCAATAGCAACCCAAAGGAGGGGGAAAATGGGAGAGCTGATTTTAACACAACTCTCCTCTTTTCTTTGTATTCTCTCCAGGAGACCTGACTGCCAGCTCATTATCTTGAATGTTATCCATGAAACAACACTGAGATTGTCAGATGAATTTTCCTCCCCCTATGACTTGGATCCTGTGATAATACTGTGAGTCATTCAGACCATTTCTCAGTAGTGACCACTCCATACAGACACGTCTCTGCTTAGAATACCGGTACACTCTATCCTTTTCTACATGTACCTTTCCTTCAACCATAGTCTATCACTCATCTGAGAGGCAGCCTCCCCACACTGTTCCCCGAATAACATAAAATACCTTAAGAATGAAAATGCCTTACGTAACAAACATTACACAAATATGCAATAACCCCGATTGTGACAGCGTAAATATTATGTCTGGGAAGACATCCACAGCAAGAACATAAGGAAGGAATTTCATTTTATAAAAGAGTTGGGAAGGGTACTTGTTTGAAAGTGGGCAAGATTAAAGTTGCCAGGGAGATCAGCATAAATACAAATGTCCACCAAGAAATTAACCCCAGTCCTAACGGATGGGGGAGCACGTGCCCTCTCTGGGCTGGTTGTGGAATTCGAGGTGCAGGTCTGCAGCTGGGGGGCCAGGCAGTCACTAGAGAGGAGGCTGCCCCTTCGATGACAAGACAAGCCCTTCTCCTTTGCAAGGGACCATATGCGTGCACACCTGATGGCCTCTCAAAGGTCTGGACCAGGGGTTTGACTGGGATCTGTTTTCCTAATTATACACACCAGGTCCTGGCTATAATAAAAGCAGGTGTAACCAAAACAGCACAGGGTGCAAGAAGAATGTCTAACTCATTTGTTCGTGTACTTCCTCATTTTCCAGTTATCTACAATGCGCAGCACGGCGCTAGGCGGGCCCTCCATAGTCAAGGCAAAGATCCAGATTCAGAGATTCTTGGCTTGGCGGGTCCATGGATCCCCAGAAGGTCCATAAACAAGCTTCAGCGGCCCTGAAAACTGAAATTGTACAAGAAACTGTGTGTGTAAGTGCACGTGTGCATTTTTTTCCCCCGGGGGAAGACTTCCAAGGATTTTCAAAATTATTCATGACGTTCCCAAAGATTAAAAATCATAGTCTTAGGAAAATCAGAAGGACATTTGCAGTGCATTCTCTTCCCCCATTTACGATGCGGTAGATAATACGGTCTGGTAGATTTCCTCTTTGGTTCTAAAATGAATTAACTAAGGCCATAATCCCTGATTGATCGATTCCTTTACAGCTGATTAAGTACTCCAATAGCGACGGGAGCTCGCACAGATTTCACTGCTAAAGTTTCTTCAACGTCTCTCGGCTGCAGCCATGATACACTTTCTTGTAACTGAAAATACCCGTAGCACCTGCCCCAATGACAGATGTCAGCTGATGTCAGCTGCTGCTAACAATCTCACCTCTTGATCCTGAACTGTGATTTTCTGGAGGTAAGGGATAGTCCCAGGACGTGTGTTTAAGTGTGAATTATTCTGAACAAGAACCAGTGTGCTCCGCGTCAGCTCCCCTCTTCTGGGAGCTGCTATCTCTTCTTCCATTGTAAAGGAACAGTTGATCTATATGGAGACACTGAATCAAAGGGAGAAAATTCCCAGGGGGAGATAGCCCTGAAGGAGAGATTTAAATTGTCAGGGCCAGAAAGGAGGGAAGGAAAGGAAAGGAAGGAGGAAGGTTCAGACTGCTGAAGCCTTCACCAATACTTTTTAGGGGCCAGCGTTGTCAGCAAGGCCGTAAAAGCCGGATGGGCAGGTTTTCCCAGTTGCAGGCTGAACCCGAGGTTAGGAGCTGTGGTCCTGGACATCAGCCAGCACCCAGACAGATTGGTTTTGTCGAACAGAGAAAAACCCTTCCATGTTCAACCTCTGGCAATTTCTACGAGGTTTTACAATCCCCAGGGACTGGCAGCTGAGACAAGAAAAGGGAGTTTCTTTTTCTACTCTTTATTTGGAACTGAGCAACAGGCCCCTTTGAGAATCCATCAGACCAGTGGCTTTTGACAGAATGGGAAATTGGCACTGAAATGTTCGGTGAGCCAACAGCCAGGACCTTCTCGGCCCCTGTGTGGTGTGTTGATGCCAATGTCATATTTTCAGACACATTTTCAAAACCAGAAAACAAACTAGTGGATAGTCTTAAGATCACTTAATAAAACGTTATGAAACTTTTAAAGGACAAGATTCAGTGAGGCAGATTAAGACTAATTGTTAAAATGAGTGAGAGTCATCTGCTGTCTTCGTAATGGGAAGGAAATTGCAAAAAAAAAAAAAAACCAAAACAAAACAAAACAAAAAACCTGGCAGGCTTTGATGCTGACACTTAGACTTGAAAGCGTGAAATCAAGTTGTATTCTACCACTATGGGGAGAAATTATGAGAGAGTCAGACTGGGCCTTTTGATGGCTCGTTTTTTCTTGTAGTCCTAACCAAAAAAAAGAGAATCATTCAAGACTGACAATATACACAGCAACTGTAATCGGGCAAAACATTCATTTCGGGGTTCCTCTGTTTTGGATCGCTTATTATCATGCGTGGGAAGCAGAGACTGCTCAAAACAGATATTGTCCATATATGGAGTGTTTCAATTAATTTTCTCATTCCAGGTTATCAGAAGACAGCCCAGCCTTGGGTGCAGTTATTTCACTCTGCAAACTCAAGGGCATCCTGGCACGAATCAGGCAGCCAAAGGCAAACACTCCACACCTTGGGGAAACAGTTCCTTGTTACCCAAGTAAACACGAGCTTCTCTTAGTCACCCACTTGAAACAGACATGGCCAGTGAGGGGCGAGAAACGCCAGAAAAGAAAGCAGGCTGCTTTCAAAATTTCACTCTTTATCATCACCGACCTCCTGGGCCTTGCCAAAAAGCCACTACCGCACTTCTTATGGGAAAATGGCATGGGTCATTGAAGAGCTTCCAAAACTTCCATAACCAAAACCTGACCCGTAGACCCACATAGATGCATATGATGATAATATAACTTCCTCTGGAAATGCAACTAAATGATACTCAGCTGTGGCTTCCTAAGAACAGAAATCCACAGGAATTGACCTGAGATGGTTACGAGGCTGGAAGGCATGGACCAGGCAGTAGGGCCTTTGTTTTTTATTGGCTTCTACTCATCTGAAGCCTTCAAGACGTTTTCTAAACACACATCTCTGAATCATAATGGGAATTCCATTTACTGAAAGGTGGGGACTTTTAATATAACAAGTGAACCCATAGAATGACTTGTGCCTTTATACCTTATAGCACCATTCATGCTTTCAATAAGTGGGTGTAATTTTCTTGGTATTATCCTATTATTAACATAGTGCTATGAACAAATATTTTCAATCACGTTATAAGTTTTTTACAATTTTCTCTACCTTTGATTCTATTTCGAAAATTCCCCGGACAGCTAGGATAGCACAAACACAACAGCGCGAAGAAGCAGCAAGCCTTTGCCCCCATTCCTCTTTGACTAATCAAATTCCCCCAAAACACAGACTTTCTTATATTTTTAAATGCCTTTATACAGACTAATGATTACTCTTACGTTCAAACGTCCATTGGTTGTACTTTTACTTTTTTTAATACAAGAGTCAGCTACTGTTATCTAGGTTACCACGTCTTTTCTATTATACTCAAAATAACTTTTATTCCTAAGCTTATTCAATACTATATTACAAAAATGAGATTTTCAAAACAAACTATATTACCTCCTTCAGTTAAACTACTGCTACTTATTGCTATTTGTAAAATAGGACTAAGGTTCTTACAATACAAAGAAAACACAATATTTGAAAATAACTGGAAACCGGAGGAGATTACAATATGCCAAGATTCCTCTTTCTGCTCTAATACTTTGATAACGGGCACAGAAAAAGAAAACTACACATAGAACTTCACTGATGCAATCATTCCTCTGGAGAATCCAGTCTTTAATATTATTAGTACCTAAAATACTAATAAGGCATCCAAATTACACACAGGAAGGTCAGTCACATTGCCATCAAATTCACCAAGCCAGAATGTTACTATTTCTTCATATTTTACCATAAAAAATGCTTCCTTGAAACACATTTCAATCATCATCCACTATACAGCCCTTAAAATTATTAGAAGTGATCATTTGAAACTCTGTCACTTGTCAAAGGTAACACATGGACCCTAAGTTAAAGGTTTCCAGTAAAGAGATATCTGAAAATTATCAAAGAGAACCCCAGTTGTATGATCTTAGTTTCCATGACGGTAAGTTTTATATTTTTACATTTTAGAAAAGATCTGAGAGGTTTCCTTGAAATTCACAATTCATGTTTTGCCTGCTCCAAATCAGTCTTAAACCAATTCCATAATAGAAAGCAATAGCGTAAAGCCAGACTCTGTTAAAAACATTAAATTTTAAATAAAAAGCTGATGTAGCAATAATAACGGGAAGAAATGACTGTGTTTCTAGGGAATCCCATCACAGAAACTTCTAGATGTTTTGAAATCTGGGTTTGTTGCTATGTAAATACTGGGTATTTCAAGTTCAGTTCTGACAGATACATACCTCTTCCACTCCGACCGACAAACCTGAGGTCATTGAATCTCGCGACTTGGTTTTTCATGGCCGCTGTTGCATTTCTCAGTTCGGCTGAGTAGTTTTCATCATTGCCTGCCATCACAGTGACCAGAGTGCCATCTGGAACGTCCCCCAGTGCCACCACCTAGACACCAGACATCAGGCATGTTAGAAACTTTGATGTCATTTGCATAATTATTCTAAAATTGAATGTATATTAAGTGATGCTTTTTAGTTTGCGAAGGAATAACAGTCATAAATTAAGCAAAACAACAGGAAAGTTCTTAATGGGAAGATTTACTTTAAATTCCACTATGCAAAATTATAAATATTTAAAGAATAAAACATTCACCTAGTGAAGCCACATAAGGTCACAGAGCAGAGTTGGAATAACACTCACTATAGCAAGGACTTTGAAAAGCTATGCCTTCTCACGAATACAATCATCTCTTAATTCTTCATATTTGAGAAACAGAATGTCTTGCTTTTTATAAGTTTATAACCTAACCCATCTTTCATTTGTCTAGACCTCCACCGACAGGCCGAATAGGGCGGGTTTTGCCTTTCAGGTGTTTAAACTTACTTCTGCTAAAATTAAATTTGATTGCTACCACTGAATTGCTGACGATTCTTGAATGACTTAAACTCTCCCTTCGCAATTAGTGCATCCTTGTTGCCCCTACTCGCTTCTACTGTCTTGATTCTCACTAGCAGTGAATTCTGGTACGCAAGAGAAAAAAATCAGAAACGTGCCCTTCGCTTAACACTAACTACAAAATCAACAGACCTCAGAGAAGAGGGCTGCTCACTTTGATGCGCTCCTCTGAATTCAGGAGCGGAACTATGTCGCATTTTTATATCTGTGAGTCCCAGAGATGTGTTAACTTGGGACCTTATAGATGACTGAGGTTTTCTCCAAACCCAGTTGATCTTGAGGAAGAATTCCTTCAATGTAACTGAATGGGAATGGATTTCCATCAGGACTACTAAAGTAAACCAGTAAATACATATTTTTTGACACTTAGGTTAAAAAAAAAAAAAGCAATTTCAAGGTAAAATGCTTTAAAGAGCATGGCCCGAAGATGCTTCATGCAGTAGTATCCATTTCTTGATCATCATTTGACCCTTCTAGAAACTATTTTCTTGATCAAAACATTTATTCTTAGCTATAGTTCCATTGTTTCTGTTTTTTAAGGTAGTTGTAGAATTTCAAATCGAGATGCCCCAAGTTCTACTTATTCCTATCACTTGTGATACCCCTTATGGTACTTTCTCAGTCACTAGTGAAATGTGGGCTCATCATTCCAATTATATAATCGTTTTGGGGGTTTTAGTTTTGAGCTGTGATAAGAAAGCATTCTACAGTGATTAGTCCTCCTTCTGTTTTCCACCTCCCCATTTTTACCTAATATTTGCTACATAATTTGGGGGGGGTAACACCTATACTTCATCCTCTTTTTCTGTCTGTAAATAAGGCTGCCATAGGCTCCCTTGTATGATACAAAAGCCACGTTTCTCTAAATTCCCATCTTCATTGCCTGCTTAGTCATCACCCTTTCTCTGTGTCATCCAGATGACCATCTAGTGTTTTTATTCCCGAGGAGGCTGTGGCTCTTGGATTCTAAGGAGTACGATGGGGAAAATGAACCAACTCACTATAAGGGGTGGATGTACTTCCAACCCCAGGAGTACACCAGGAGAATCAATTCTCACAGCAATAGGTAGGCATGTTCTTCATCTATTTTATCCAACTTGCACTCTTATCTTTCTTTCCATCCAAATGGCCATGTTTTCTATAAAGGAAATTTAAAAACACAGCTATTTCTTCCCCAAGCACCCTCTAATTAGGTATTTAGAGCCCATTATTAGTACGTTTGTTGCTGTTTAGTTAAGAGCAGTAATATGACAATTCCCTTTTGTTTCAAAAACATTACTGAAATAAATCTCCTTGATCAGTTACTTAGTTACTGTTACCGTTTTTTCTATTCCCATAAAATATACTTACTTTATTCTGCTTTTCTCAGTCTCTTAAAAATCCCCCCTCCTTTTTTTCCCCACTGTTTTCACTTCCCTCTGTAAAATTAGCTCACAATGTTGAAATGTCCTCCTTGAAAACATATTTTTACTCCCTTTTCCCCATCTCCCTGTGATGACCTGGCATCTCTATTTTAATTCCACATTCAGTAAGCATACAGGGACCGGATCAACCACATGGTTTTCCAACTGAATAAGTCATTGTTGGTTAAATAGGTTAAAATAAATAAATCTTGTTTTATAACTACCAAATGTTTTCTAAATCACCTTCATCCTACTGGCCCCTCTCACAGGCTCCATGACTGTGCCTCACTCATCTTTCCAAAACGATCCTCGTCAGTAATACGGCAAATTCATGAGGCCAACACGAAATAGAAACAAATAGTAAAATAATCATGGTGGCTAAACAAGAAAATGCTGTTGATGTTGGAATTTAAGACTAAACAAATCAGGAGTTTAACTCCTTCTTTTCCCTTTTTTTAAACTGTAGCAGGAGTCAAAGGTATTTCGGGGCTCAAAGATCATTTACTTGGCCTTTTATCGATTTTTCATGGTGGGGGAAGGGAAAGAATATTAAATCCAGGAATATTACATTAATAAAGTATATCATCTAATTATTAGCAAGCATTCTTAGACTAGGAAAAAAGAATTTAAATTTAAAACTAACGTGTCTATTAATTTGATACAGATTTGATCTTTGATAGGCAATATGCAGAGATTTTTGAAAAAAAATCTAACTTCAAACAGAGAAAAAGAAGCAACTGGAATGAAAAGCTATAAACAATAGGTAAGGAAACAAAAACATTTACATTTTAACACAGACCAGACAGACAAGAAGGGACTTGCTGGCCAAAGGATATCTCATTTTTTTTTTTTTTTTTTTTACTTCTCTGTTTTTAAAGTATCAGGAAGTTGGGCAAAATATCAAGCATCGTCTATGTTACAGAACCTTCCCACACTGCTCTTGGTCGGCCTGTTCACAGTTCAAACTGGCATTTTAAACTAACTCTAATTAGGTTGAAATTACAGTCATAATTCATTTATTTCAAATCCCTTAATTTTCCAGTGTTATAAAGAAAGCTGTGGGGTGGAACTTAACATTCAGCTGAGATGATATTTAATGCATAGCTAGGGGACCACGATCTTGCTGACACAAACGTTACTTATTTCTTTCCTATGAAAAGAATATTACTATCAGTGCCCAAGGCCTCTGAACTGGCTGAAGGCGTGTTTATGCCTTTGGACTCTGGTGTACCAGGGCCTAAATGAACTTTAATATTATAGTCTTACAAAATATATCCTAAGTCATCCAAACAGCCTTTTTGTGCTTCTGTAAATAACGGGTAACAGTAGCAAATTTAAGATTTTCTCGGTAGCAAAATAATGGATCTCTTCTAGGCTGAAAAATAACGGTGTTTCGTGGGAGAAGGTGGGGGGCACTCTGGGGTCCAGGATAAGCAATTAGGATGACTGTAATCTATTTTAAGGAAAATTCATAACTTGAAATCTCCCTTTAGTTTCAGAGATTAAAGCTGGGGATTTACACGTATTCAGAAGACTCTTAAAGAATCACTTCAATGCTCTTTTCATCAATATGATCAGACTTTATCACTGTTTTTCATTTTCTCCTCCTTAATACAGGGAATGTAATAATTCTTTACTGATTAACTTCTTAAAGAGATTGTCTGAGGTTTATATAAGATCAAAATTTTAAAGTAATAATTTCTATAGAAACTGCTTGGGAGGTAGGTGGTGGCAGATGAGTACAGACTGGATTCAGGGACACACAGTGAATGCATCAAGCCGGACACAGTCACTTTTTTCAAGTTTAGCTTGCTTTATCCCTAATCTTTGCGCCTGTTGCCTCCCTGGAAATTTTGCCTGCCTCCTTCCGTTATGCAAAGAGCAGGTCTCCTTCCGAAAGAGGTCCCTCTTTATGGGGACGGGAGTGGTGACAGATTATTCATCGAGTGGTCTGATTCCTGTCCTTGCCTTTGCCCCAAATGTTCTCAAGACCCACTTGAACTTTTCTCAAGAGATCTATACCTTGATCTTTAACCTAGAAACTATCACTCAGTAAAACAGATTTTTTTAGAAGTGAATTGTCAAAAGTCATTTTAAAACGGAAACTTCTATGGTTATTAAGATTTCCGCTAAAAGGAATTCCCTGATGGCTCATGAAAACAATTTATATGATTTTTTTTTTCATTCTTTTAGAAGAAAATAAATACTTTCATGTGGTGGCTTGAGAACCGACATCGCTTTAACTTCTGAAGATTCTCGCTTAATCACTTAGTGCTTGGGGTGTGGGTCCCTAGTAGAGGAGGAGAGTTACAGAAGAGACCTGATTTAGCCCAAAGGAAGCCACAGATCCCTAAGAACCCACACCCTTGGCGTGTCCAGAGCACCTGGTCTTAAAGGACCCTTTGGTTGATTATCAGCTTGTCTCCTCCCCTCTGTACTTATCTGAAAGTGACCCCAGGGCCCATCCCTGTCAGGTCCTCTGGAACTGAGGGAGAGCTGAGGAGGTCTGCCTGCTGAGTCTGTTTATGTAAAGGGATTAGAGTGATTTCAAATTGAAATGGGCTCCTAACCCAAAGCTACAGAGCTGGAGGAAGGGACAGGAAAGCATGGAGTGGCTGCTCAAACTTATCCTCATTTTCATCCCCCTCAAAAACTCCTGCTTTCAGAAAACGGAGGCAATTCTACAGACACAGACAATTGCACTTTTGTTTTGTTGTTGTTTGTTTTAGAAATCATAATCTAAGTTTGGAAGGTATGTAAAGCTTAAAAATAAAGAACTCTGACAGTACTTTTTTAAAAAAGTGAACATTATTCATTGTAACTAACTCAAGATCCAGCGCAGGCTTGGAACCATAAAAAGCTTATATTAAATTAATCGCCCCTTAAGGGGACAATTATTTAAGCAGATTTATTTTTTTTAAGAAAAAAGAGTAGCTGATCTTTACAGCTTCCCCCCCCCCCACCTGCTCTCCTTAGTCCCTGCAATGAACCGGAAATGACTGCACTGATTGTATTTAAAAGCCTGCCCCTTCTTCAACTCACCCAAGACAGAAGAACTGAATCCCCACCGCCGAAATGAAATGTCTACTGTTTGCTGCCAGGGTGGCGTTGGTTGTCTAAAAACGCCCGGGGTTGTTTATGTATCCCCTTTGAAGGCCAAGGTTTTTATAGGGAGCTCAAAGCTAGGGCAAGATCAAGGGTGAAAAGTGAACGGGGATCTCTCAAGCTGCTCGGCTGCAGTCACCCGGTCCACACCGCCCCTCCTCAAACAGCAAAGCGGGCGGATTAGACGGCCGTCTCACGCCAGACAGCCTTGCCTCCTTCCGCTGCCCCGGGCTTAAGCTAGGTGAGCCGGCGATAACGTTCAGTAGGGTACCAGGCAAAGAAAGAGCATTCGCTACTTGCGGCTTCTGGCAGGAGCAGCCTAGAAGCTCGAAAAAATTCTTCAGAAAACTTTTGCAAACTTAACTACTCCCGCCGTGGACTTTGAACCTGCTAATTCCTACAGGGCTGTTAAAGAGGGGGTGGAAGTGGAAAGCCTTGACAGTTTTCCTTGTCAGTTTATTTACATTGACCCGAAGGTATAAAAGTATCTCTATTTTATTTCCTGACGTCTCCCTCAGAATGGTTTGGGTGTCAAGCCAGAGGCGGGGAGAGAAGCAGAGGAGCCCACAGACAGGCTTGTCCCTGCTGGGTTATAACTTTTCCTACTTTAGATCAAAGCTAAGGACCCCTGCCGGGGAGAGGTCCAGCCGGCCCTCAGTGGACGTCTTTGGGGGCATCCTGAGTTTTTCGGCCATCCTTGGAGGCCGCTGCGGCCGGCTAAGGCGGGCCCCTCGAGGGTCGCCACGGCAACGCAGCATCCCCTGTCTCCCGAGCGCAGGGGGATGGACCACAGGCCTCAGCGCCGGCCCCTTTCTAGAACCCGGCCCCGCCTGCCTGGCCGCTGCCCTCCTCGATCTCCCTGGCCTCGACCGGCCTCTGCCTGTCCTCCCTCCACCCGCTCCGGGCCGAGTACCTTGAAAGCGATGGGCAGGGTCTTGTTGCAACGCCAGTGCGTGGGCAGCACAGAGCACAGGAAGTTGGGGCTGTCGGTGCGCACCAGCTCGCCCGGGTGGTCGGCCAACACCTCCACCATGCTGCGGTCGCCGCTCCTCAGCTTGCCGGCCAGGGCGGCGCCGGCGTCCGGGGCGCCCAGCGGCAGCGCCTCGCTCATCTTGCCCGGGCTCAGCGCGGTGGAAGGCGGCGTGAAGCGGCGGCTCGTGCTGGCATCTACGGGGATACGCATCACAACAAGCCGATTGAGTTAGGACCCTGCAAACAGCTCCTACCAGACGGCGACAGGGGCGCGGATCTTCAGCAAGCAGCTCCCGGGAGACCAACATACAAGTTCAGGGAGCTTTATTGCTGTGGGGTGGCTGGGGAAGGGGGCAGACTAAGTTACTAACAGTCCAGGAGGGGGAAAATTCTAGTTTTGCCGATCGGCCTCAGACCCACGCAGGACTCTTTAGCAACCGACCGCTCAGTGCTTTAAAAAGTGGGCGACCAGAATCCAAAGTCAAGTGCCAAGGGAGACTATCTTCTTCTGAGTCTTGTTTTGAGAGTTTTAAGTTCAGTCTTTGGCTGTTACCAAAGTTCCCAGAGGCAAAATTCCCATACACTTCCTAAAATATTTATGCGGAGAGCAAAAGGACCAGCAAATACATAATTTGGAAGTTCCAGTAGTCAATTGCCTGTCAGATTTTTCCCAGGTGAGTTTTGTCTAAAGTCCAACACAACAGAAAATACACGAGGAGTGTCTTCCAAATACGGCGCCACTTTTTATCATGCAACACTGGCTTCGGTCCTCAAAAGCAAGAGCTGAGACTTCCAAAGGTCCTGCTTCTAATGTATGTGCACATATATATATATATATAAATATATACATATGCTCTACTTCATAACATATTTACAATACAATCTGTAGAGAATTTAAACACAACAGAAATCCATTAATGTTCGCGGCAGGTTTTTTTTTTTTTTTTCTTTTTAAGTAGCCTTGAAACTCAGCTTCAGTAGTTGGAGAAGGGCTGGGCGAGAAGTACTTGTCATGTTCTCGATAAATTCTGGCAAAATGCTCAGTTCAGAAAATTCAGCTTTTCAAAGAAAAGCTAATCTTAAAAAAAAAAAAAAGTCCAAGTCAATGACACCTAGAGTTCAGCTCTCCACATCTGAGAACTCGGGTTTGGGGATGTTGGTTAAGTTTGCGGCTGGTCCTGTGGTTTGGTGGGAGGTGAACAGCAGCCGAGTCACACGCACGCAGGCACGCACTCTTCGGAAGCCAGCCGCTGTCTGCATCGACTGCGGTGAGTCAGCCCCGACTTGGGCAGGAACGAGACGATCTTCCTCCAACGTCGCCCCAGCGTCGGCCGGTTAACTACTCAGGCGCGCCAATACCCACGATCACAGCGTAACCGCAGCAGGTGGAGCGGGCCTTGTGAGGAGGCTCCGCAGCGCAGATCGAAACAGACGGGGCGGCTCGAGTTACACAAGCACGCACACACTGCCACGCACACGCAACTTCACCACTCGCCTCGAAGCACAGCGCACTTTCTCCAGCAGTTGCCAAAGGAAACAACCGGGTGAAAGTTCACACCCAGGAAAGAAGTTGAACCATCCAGCCAAGAAACCAGTTCATTCAAAAGTAAGAAAGAAAGAAGAAAAATAAAAATCGAAGCTCCGACGCGGGTCAAGGAGAAACGGCAAAGACTGACTTTCTTCTCGTGTCCCCAGGAGCCCCGGGAAGAGGTGCCTGCCGGCGCAGGGCCGGGCAGCGTGGTGCCCTGGCTGGGTCAGGCCGCGGGGCGCCCGTCCTGCCTGCGCCCGCTGGCTCTATGAATGAGAGTGCCTGGAAATGAACGTGCTTTTACTGTAAGCCCGGCCCGAGGAATTCCATTCCCTCAGCTCGTTTGCATAGGGGCGGCCGCTGGCCAATCACAGGCCTTTCCGGTATCAGCCAGGGCGCGGCTCGCGGCCGCGGGCTCCTGGAATTGGCCCGCGCGCCCCCGCTGCCGCCGCGCGCTACTGTACGCAGCCGGGGTGGAGAGTCCACCGCCGCCGCTGCCACCCGGCGTTCCCCGCGCATCCGCATCCACGCACACACACGAACACACGCCCACGCTCCCACGCTCGCCCCAGGCCCCGCCCCGGTGCGGACCGCGGCCCTGCGGCTTTGCACACACGGGGGGTTGTGTGGCCGCCTGCTTCGGGGCTGCAGTGAACGGCCTCGCCAGGGGCGGCCGCGGTCCAGGGACCGAGGAGGTGGAGAAGAGGAGGCCTGCCGGCCTGGGGAGGACTCGGGCAGCTTTTTGAGCCCCGAGCAGCCCGGGACCGGAGACCTGCCGGAGGGAGGCGCCCCGCGAGCCATCGAGATGAATTGGCCGCCGCGAGGTTCCGGAGACTGGGGCCGGATCGGCCGGGCGACCCCAGGCCCTGCGCGGCCGCCCGCGGCCGAGACTCTGCTTTCCCGGCGTGGATGGGATTCGGCCGCGAGGGGGCCGGAGGGCCGAGGGCCCGGCCGGGGAGCCGTTCAGCGCGCCCACACGGCCCCGTTGGCAGCTGCGGCGAAGTGGCGCTGATTCACTTAACGAAGCCAGACGGTTGTCGGTCTCCACAACATGGTTTTTGTGTTTTTAGTTTTCTCTCTTGGTTTGTTTTCTTTAATTGGTGTTTTATCGCCGCGGCTGGGCTGCGGATTAATTACGCAGCGCGCCTTACTCAGGTTGATTGAGTTTAGCGGCGAGCAAAGGAGTTTCGTAGTTAGAAAAGACCCCAAAGAACAAGCGACTGGAAAGAAAGTTGAAAGCCTCCGCTTGGCTCGTTCCCCATCCTCGGACCGTCGGCTCCCTCGCTAGGCCCAGGTCGCCCGCGCCCCCCACACACCTCCGGCTCCCCGGAAACGGCCCCGGCTCCGCTCCCTGCCCGCGCGCGCGAGCCGCCGCGGGTGTTAAACCCACCCCGGCTTTGCGCGCTGGCGGGAACTTCCCCCGCTCCAGTCCCCGCGGCGCCGCGGGCATTTTCGCGGAGCTTAGAGGGGCCACGCCCCCGCCCGGCCGCGGGGCTCCCCCCTTCCGCGCGGAGCCCACCCGCTTCCTCCCTCGGGGGAGGCGCTCACCCACTCCCCCCCGTCGACTACCCGGGCGGGGGTCTCTGGCCCTCCCCCCGTGGGTCCCCTCCCTGCCGCCGGTTCGGACTCTCCTCGGGCTCTGGCGCTGTGGCCTGCCGGAGGCAGGGGCCGTGGCGAGCCAGTCGCGGAGGCCTTTCCGGGCGCCCAGGCAGCTTCCCTCGCCCCACGCCCAAAGAGGCCGGGAGGTGCTGCGGGCCGCGGGCTCAGGGCGGACGCTAGGGGGCAGCAGCCGCCCTCGCTCGCCGCCCCGGGCGCCCAGTAGCCTTGTAGCGCGCCGGGGAACGCCCCCGACGGCGCGGGGCTCTGCCGGCCTTCTCGCGGCCTTTGGGTCTCCTGTACGAACTTCAGTTAGGGAAGAAACGACAGGAAATGACCGCCCAAGCCAGCCTGCGCGGCATTCCCGCCCCCACACACCACCTGCTATACCGGCAGCGCAGCTGGCGGCCGGGGAACCCTCGGACAGGGGTCCTGGCTGTCCCGGCCGGCGCGCGTTAGGGTCTCTTCTCGAAACCCCTTTGCCCGAACCCCGCCGTCGGCCGGTCCCAGGCCGTCGGTGCTGCAGGCGTCCCGGGCGCCCTCCATCCTGCCCGGCTTCTCCCCACGTGGGCCGGTCCCCTCGCGCCCCTCGCTCCGGAAAACCCGGGACGTCTGGGAGCTCCCAGGACCCAGCTGCATTTTGTTTTCATGGGTCTGGGGTCTCAGAAAACGCCTTTGTATTTTTCTTTAAAAGTAATTTTGAAGAAGCCGCATTTCAGGTGTAAAGACCCCAAACGTCCTCTCTCCACCTGGGCCGAGGGATTCCAAATACTGCGCAGTCCCAAACCTCCCTGTCTGCCGCCCCTCCTGCCCGGGGCCACAGTCGCTCTGCGTCCGGGCTCGACGCTGCCCGCTCTAGAGGCGAGTTCGGGCGGAGTGAAATCTTTTTGCTTCAGCTCAAGTGCATTTCCCTAAGAGCCGATCAAGCGCTCCTGGGGGCCGCCTCCAAGTGCATCCCCGTAGACCCCCACGGACGGGGGCTGGGACTCTGGAGATGTAGCGGTCTGGGGTATGCCGCCGCTCGGAAAGGTCAGAGAAGGCTCTTCTGGGGCTGCGACCGTTTGCCTGAAACCCTAAACCCTGCGAGGGGCTGCGGGGCGCACCCCGCGCTGCGGTCTCCCGGGCGGGGATCAAGTTCCCTTAGTAAGGTACAGCGGTAGATGCACCAGGTTTAGCCTTTCAAGGGCAGCGCGCTGCTCAGCTCAGAGTCTCAACCAGTAAATCCCGAGTTCGAACGCAGACACGGATGATAATAGCAAGGAAAGCTTTTGCTGATTTATTCTGAATCGGGCCACCGGGCGTTTGGGGCTCCCCAGACTTTGCGCAGGTTATAACTGCGTTGCGCGGTGCACGCTTGAAAACCAGAAACAAACAACACTGCCCCTCCTTATCGAGGGACTAAAATGAATGCAAAGCAGGCAGCATGGGGCTCAACTAAAGAGTACCCGGAACCCCTTAGTCTGAAGGGCTTTTTACATAGTTTATGAAGTTGAGTAACCATGTATGAAATGAAGAATTCATTTCCACCAGGAGCGCTCATTTAAGGGGCGATATAGAATTTCCCTTCCCCTGCCTCTCTTAAGAGAAAAGGAAAGGAAACATTACAGTATACACTCCTGGTGTTCCCCTGGAATAATACTAAAACCTACTTTTGTCATAATACAATACAAAAAATATAACGAAGTAGTATGTTGGGCGAATGCTATGTGACAGATTCTTCCAAATTTGCTGCATGGGGGAAATTTCAAAAAGGCTCATCAACTGATTGAATGAAATGTAAGTTTTCACAGTGAATTTAAAAAGCAGCATTTGGTTAGTTGGAAGAAAAAAAAAACAATTTCACCAGAAAACAACAGCTTATTGACATTTTTTTCTACAACTTTAGGTAAATATATAACTATGGGGAGGTCTCAGAAAATATCTAAATATTTCACATTTTTTGCTCTTTCAAAACCCTCTCAAAAATAAATAAGACTCAACCATTCTCTTAAAATCCCCCTCTGTAATATGATATTTCTAAAATTACTTTTCTAAAAATGTAATATTTCTAAAAGAATTATTTCTGCTTTCAGTGACTATTTTAATGAAAATAAAAATACAGAGAACGTATTTTGCTAGTGGTTCTGGACCAAACTGCTTCAGTTTGTACTAATGTCACAGGGAGGGAGAACAATTTTGTTGAAGACTAACATACATGTTAATGTATGTACAATACACACTGTCCAGTTTTCAACATTGGAATTTAATTAAACATCCCCTTCCCCCAGTGGATTTGAGATTATTTCTCTTTTGAAGTCTAATAACTTTGCGGACAAGATCCCTTAGTTCTTCCATTATGTCCTTCCTCTATGTGATGACTTCCATGGGATCCTGCAGTTGATATGTGACTATTTCACTAACTTTGTAAATCAATTTGCAACTCACAAGTAGCAAACTGAGAAAAAAAATTTTTAAATCTTTAAAAACATTATGGATGCTTAGTAAACATTTTACTCTCACAAAAATTTTGCATTAGCACTGCTATAGCAAAAGTAATAAACTAGGTAATAACACACAGAAGCCAAGCTCTATTTTTTTTTTGTAGAGAGTCATATAGAGTCGTTTAATAATAAACAACAGAATGCACCTGTGGTAAATACTGTAGAACCGAGGGTATCTTTGAAGGTTTCATTGGAACATTTTATATGTTTGACATTTACCATATAGAAAACAGCTTTTAAGTATTTTTGAATCAGCAAAAAAAGTTTTGATTATTTGGTTAATTTATATCGTGAGTTATTTATAGCGATACATGGATAAAATGCCATATATGCATATATGAATGTGCATATTTTGTTAAAAATATAATTTGGAATCTAACATACCGTGAACGTCTCTAGATGGATTCATTCCATGTACACATTCTGAAAAAGTAGAAAGTGGGAAAATAAAAATAATTGTATGAATATACTGACAGCAAACACCAAATTTACCAAAGTGGATTAATTTAATTGGAATTGGAATCAGTGCCAGTGTAAAAACTAAATCCCCCCTCTCATTTTTTTTGGTAGCTCGTTGCCTCTCACACTCTGTTAGCACTGGAGATTTTTACTGCATATTGTCTAGCTTTGGCTCAAAAATAACTTAAAACAGTAAATCATTATATAAAAAATGAACTGTTACCTAGGCATATGATTTCTACGTACCTTTGACCAATGTTTTTCATTGCTAGGTAATACTGAATCTTTATCTTTCATAGAATCACCTCTTTCAAGCTCTATATGTGATGCAAATGTGATTATTTAATGAACATTAAAAATCCATTTGGAGAATGTAGGGATGGATCACAATTCATAGTGAAATTAAAACCAAACCCTAACTTAATACAAGAACATTTAAAAATCTGTAACATGCTAGAAGCTAAATGCAAGAAGTAAAAATATGAATAGTTTTCAAAGTGATAAAAATAAACAATTTGGAATACACCTTCTAAAAGAAACAAACTAGTAGATAAATGTTATGATCATTTACTTCCAATGATAGGACATTTTAGAAATATTCCCTCTTTGCTTGATTTCCTTTCCCTTTGCTAGGAGGGCAGATTATTTATATGGAAAGCTTTCATTCTTAAAGTAACAGATGATATCAACCATTTTTGAAAATATTTGTCATATGATAATTTCCATATATGAATCACTATATACCGCTGCATGTCCAGTTACAGGTAAAGTCACAGGTAGATCCATTAAGCAAAGCCATATGAAGCTATTTCTCTTTCCCTTGAATATCTATGTATAATGTTCTGAATGTGAAATTATTCCATCAGCCTTGTATATTGATAATGGTCAGCACTGAATGACTAATGTGGAGGAAATAGCGTTTTTCAAAGCCTTAGGATTTGAGCATTTCAAATACTGCAGACCTAAAGCTTTCAACTCCACTGCACAATATTAGTATAACATAGCTTAAATAAAACCTTTAAAACTAAGAAAGGAGGTAATTATTTCAGATTTCTGGATGCTGTTTGAATAGGCAGGAGAACAAGATTTTCAGCTCCTTAGTCTTATATTTTTGCCAAAGCAAAAAGGGCAACTAAAATGATAAGGGGTTCTGAAGGACTGCCCTATGATAAAAAATTAAAGGAATTCAGTATGTGTAGTCTTAAAGGAGCATCCTTAAAACACACATATACACACACACACAAACACACACACATACACACACAAGATTGTGGTTTACAAGTACATAAAGTGACTCCATAAAGATTTTTAAAAAACAGAGCAGGGAAAGAATTATTTGCACTAATAATGAATGATGAGGCAAAAAATAACAAATGTACCCGGAAGTTAGTAAGTTTAGTTTTAATAGGCATGGGGGTCGGGGGAAATCCACAACAGTAAGATTGACCAGGCAGCTGAGTTTATACTAAAGAGACCCAACAAAACTAACCACTCTGGAAATTCTCTCTTGAGACCGCGAGGAGCCTTTCCATGTCTGAGCCTGAGAAATATGAGAAGCAGAGTGGAAAGGCAAGTGTTTTGTCTACACACCTAATATTTCAGTGATTCTGAGAGAAGAGCCAAGATTTTTTTTCTAAACCTAAAAGCAAAGGCAGAAGTAGTGGATTTTGAAAGGTGTGCATGCGGTCTGTTGAAAGCTTTCTTAGTTTGCCCTGTGTCAGTAGCTTTGAGGACACGCCGTTAAGCTGGGGGGTGTTGGAGGGAAGAGAGAAGGGATGGGTGTCTGTACATGAAGTCATACCTGTAAAGATTTGTAATGATTTGCCCAAGGAGTTGTTAAAGGTGCTAGAACCTGAATTGTAAGAGAGGGAAGGTCTTGGATGTTCATGACGGTGAGAGCTGACTCCGGCGAGCACATCCTTCCACTCTCTCCATTGAATGCTGCTGTATGCCAGGCCATGGCCAAAATGCTTTCGCATACCTCGTCCAGTTTATTCCTTGCAACAATGCCATTACCACCCCATTTTACAGACCAGGAACCTTACACTTGGAGAGTTTAGGAAACCTGCCCAAAGTTGCTTCACGCTTGATCTCTGTGTACACACACACACACACACACACACACACACACACGCATCCCCACATATGGGTCTACACACATGATGAGCTGTTTCTTTTAGACCACAACTATGTATTTTTATCGGTGTCCTTTGTAGCCTTCTGAAAAATTAACTCTGATCTCATCTTTCACTTTTATCCCCTGGTCTCAAGGTCTCCATCAGAAAATAGCCCTGAAATTCTTTACCCTGCAAAATCTCAAATATTTAGGAGTCATATCTGAGGTTATTTCTGGCCATCTACAAAGTTTGAGGAGCAGGTCAGGGTCCCTTTGGCCAATAAGTGAGAGCGATGGAGTGTCAGACTGCTGATGGACACGTGTGTAGGGTGCAGGGAGCTGATGGGAGGAGGCACAGGGCTTGGCACCACCTGGTGGGCTCTGGGAAGACTTCTCTCCTGGTTAGAGGTGATATTTAATTTGACCCTTGGAGGTCGTGTAGATTTTCACCAGGTGCTTGGGAGGGTAGGAGGAAAGGCTTAGGGTGGGGAGTGGGGAGAGAAGCCTTTCCAGGCAGAAGGATGAGCCTGAGAAAGGCATGGATGAAGTTATGACACAAACCCGCAGTACAGCTGGAGCATAGGCTGGGGATCAGGTTGGGGAGTGGCAGCTCGTAAATGACACGACGCCGGCAGACGTGAACGCAGGTCAGAGGCAGCTTACACAGCCTAAAGAAATCTGAACTTCAACATGAGGGCAGTGGGCTCTATCAGAGCCTTGAAATCTGGGAAATAACATAACGAATACATATTTTAGGAAAATAAATCTGTCGGAGGTGGATAGGTGAATTAGAGAGGGCAGAGAAGGAGTAGGAAAGCTACAGCCTTGCCAGGCAAGGACTCATGAGCATTAAGGTGGAAACAATGGAGACAGAAAAGGGGGGACTGAGGTGAGGGACGGAGAGGGGTGTTCCCCCATTTCCGGCCCAGGTGCCATTAGTAGCAGTCAAGACCAGAGAGGATGGGTTTGGGGGTAGACATCAGGAATCAGCTTGGAATGGACAGAACAAAATTATAGATGCTGGTGGAAAAAACAGGAGGAATGGGTGTTGTGTAAGCTGCTAAGTTTGTAATCATTTGCTAGTTTGGCAGCAACAGAAAACTAGCACACCGAGCATGCCTTCCCCTCCTCTTATTGTTTTAGGGAGACGCTGCCTGTGTGCTTATAAATCTCTGTTTCTGGGGTTCAGTGGCAGGAAGCCACACACCCAAGTCACTGTTCTCCAAAAGTCCTGTCAGTGATAAAGCTGATAGTTTGGTCTCCATCTGCTCGACTTCGCCTGTCTCACAGGTGCTTCTGGATCATTGGGGAGAAAGGGTGTCGTTTATTGGCCCTCCTCAAACCAACTCTGTACCTGTGTCATTCTCTTCTGATTCACCCTTACCCCACACAAACACATAACCACTAGAGTTTGGATACCTTACCAGTGAGGCTCCCTCCTCTTCAAATACTAGACAGTACTGGATAAGCAAGGTGTATCCCAAGCCCCTGGGAATCTGGTTAAGTGCAGATTCTGATTCAGCAGGTTTGGGGAGGGGCCTGAGTCGCTGCATTCCCAGCAAGCTCCCTTTGATGCCACTGCTGCTGGTTCAAGGACCCCACTCAGAGTTGGCAAGGCCAACTGCTCAGCACCCAGCAAACATTGTGCCTAGCACACACTGGACTGCAGTCTCTGAAAGGTTTCTGTGGCTTCCCTGGTGGCACAGTGGTTAAGAATCCACCTGCCAATGCAGGGGACACGGGTTCGAACCCTGGTCCAGGAAGATCCCACATGCCGCAGAGCAACTAAGCCCGTGTGCCACAACTACTGAGCCCTCGTGCCACAACTACTGAAGCCCACACACCTAGAGCCCGTGCTCTGCAACAAGAGAAGACATTGCAGTGAGAAGCCCGTGCACCACAAGGAAGAGCAGCCCCCGCTCGCTGCAACTAGAGAAAGGCTGCACACAGCAACGAAGACCCAACTCAGCCAAAAATAAATAAATAAAATAAATTTATTCAAAAATTTTTTAAAATTGAAAAAAAACTGTTTTTGTAAACAACATTGCAAATTGCAAATTGACATGAAATCTATCTCTGATTGGACTTTTAAAACTAATGGGATAGACTGAATGTTTGCATCCCTCCCCCAGCCAAACTCATACGTTCAAGCCCTAAACCCTAATGTGATGGTATTAGGAGGTGAGGCCTTTAGGAGGTCATTGGGTTTAAATGAGGTCATGTGGGTGGGGTTTTCATGGGATTAGTGCCCTTGTAAGAAGAGACTGGAGCCGTTCTCTCTCTCTCTCTCTCTCTCTCTCTCTCTCTCTCTCGTCATGTGAGCACATAGGAAGAAGGCAGCCAACTACAAGCCGGGAAGAGAGCTCTCACGAGACCCCAACCATGCTGGTATCCTGATCACAGACTTCCAGTTAACAGAACTATGAGAAATAAATTTCTGTTGCGTAAGCCACCCAGTCTATGGTATTTTGTTATAGCAGCCCTGAGTTGACCAAGACAACCATGATAATAGAAGCTCCCTTTTATCAGTGCGTCAGACCTCACACTAATGACTTTACACGCCTTATTCCATTTAACCCGCTAGCAGCAAACAGTCCATAATTTTTCCCTTCACTTTACAGATGAAGAAACTGAGCTTCAGTAATTGGCCCAATCTGAACCCATGCAATTTGCCCCTGGAGTGCCAGTTGTAGTCAGCAAGCTAAACCAACCTTGCAAGATTCATATCATTATGCTATTATCAAATTTCTTTACTAGTTCTTGACAAGTTGCCTTTAAACCATGTGGGCATTCTTTCTTATTTTGAGCAGCTTTGTCCACTAGAAATGTAATATGAGCCATATATGTG